CCGGAGGCCTTGGCGTCTCCACTATTCCTGTTTCTTTCATGTATTTCCAGAGACAGTGTTGTATTTATTCTTTCAAACCTTTATTTGTAATACTCCTAGACAGTCTGTGAAGTTGTGACACCAGTCTTGGGTAGATTTTTTATGGATTGGTATTAGCAGTATTATTAAATCTTTACAATGCATTCTTCCGCTTATTCAATTTTGTTGTTATCTAATTGTTGGCTCTTAACCATTATCGGATTAAAAATGGAAATAAGGTAGATAGTTCAGTTGGTTGGCTTGCCTAGCTTTTACTAGTATGCGCCATCATGACTCCCGAGGGCGGAAAATCTGAGTCGTGACAGTTCGACTGCTGTTGGTGCAAGGCAGGTCCTTGTGCCTTCTCCGATCGCCTTTTGAGCGAGTTTGTCAAGGATGTTGGTCAACGTATTCATCAGCCAAGCTTCGAGAAGTTTTTTCACCGCTGGTGGCGCCTATTCCGTTGTAAGCGTAGAGGCTCCTTTGTCGTGGGACATTTTGATACTACCATGAGAAAGGGGTGACCCACTTCGCCTGGGTGAGGCGTTTGGCTACGTCCTCACCCTCCATTTCAGAGACCTCGTTGAAGGTATTTAAGATGTTGGTGGTGAGATCGGCTACCGCCTTCATGCTTCCTTTTCTATTACCTGTCATTTTAGATCTATTTGCACAAAAAGTGTAGGGTTTTGTGGTTTTTTTGCTAGTTATAGATCTGAAAGAAACTAAAACTTTGACTAGGAAGTCCCCACAGACGGCGCCAAATTGTTTGACCAAATATAGATTTTTAATTAAACTAATTAAATTTATATAATGAGAGGTTAAACCTAGTTAATGATAATAACTTCAAATCTATAATCGATTAAGATGAATAATGTAGAGCAGCGTTGAAAGAATATTAAATGCAACGTGTATAAATATTTCAAGACCATTAATGAAGAGGGAATGTCAAGCAATAAACAATAGTAAATGGCATTAAAGTAAATAAGGAGAATGATTAACTAATGTTGAATGAGGTGGATGATTCCTCCTCCTGACAATGATGAATGATAAACAAATACTAGAATATTGGGATCCTTCTCATATCCGATGGAAAAGATGTGGAATAACAGACAATCGAATCTCTTTAGAAAGGTAATGTTTGTATTCTATCTAGAGAGAAAATCTGTTGTTCAAAGAACTTTCTTCTCAGAGAATATTACATGGATTTTATCTTATCTCTCTTTCTATTTATAGGGGCATGCCCTCAATTAACTCAAAAAGTACAAAATATAGAGAATATCCAATGGAATATTCTCTTAAAGATCCTGCTACTAAACTAGCTGTTACTGCCTCTTCTGATACTTGACCTCGGCCATGATTGACTGCTCGACGGCGAGTCATATTGGTTACTAGTCGATCTTGGCCAAATTACTTTTGGTAATACCACTTCGTGTTGAATATTCTTAGGCAGATTTTGACCCATACACTGATCAAATAAAATAATTAGAGGTGTTATATTATATTTTTTGGGGGAAATTCTAGCAATTCGTTGGATCGTTTGAAGTTGAGACATTAGTACTAATTTGAGATACTATTAACTTGTCAGACTTGCATGTTGTTAAACTTTTCGAATGTTATTTTTATTTGTTTATTTTTTAAGTTTATCAAGGGAAGATCTTGTCTACATGATTGTTTAAAAGAAAAAAAATTAAGTCTTTGTATAATGATAAAGGGTGACGGACATAAAAGCGTTAATTAAGAGCTAAACTAGGATATCCGAGTGTTTTATATATATATATATATATATATATATATATATATATGTAAATTGTTATGATCGAAATAATCAGGTGTCATGCAGAAGCTAACAAAATATATCTTTAACGATGATAAATCTGATAACAAAAGAAAACTAATATAGATAAACATTTAACGTGGTTCAGATAATTGACCTACGTCCACAATTTAAGATGAGCAATCCACTGTATCAAAGAGATTATAAAATATTAAGAAAATAACCTCACAAAGAAGCATACACAAGTGGCAGACTAGCATTTATCTCAAACATTCTCTCTCTAAATCAAACTCTTTATGGATACATTGTGGATGTTACTAAATGAGAAGTAATAATCCTTAATTTACAAAAGTACAAAATCTTTTCTTTCAAAAAAAAGAATAGACAAATATGAAGATTTATAATTTCCTTCTAGGTGAAGAAAAAAATTAATTATGGTAAATATGTAGCCCTTCATTCAAGAAAAAAAATATAATAAAAAAAATTATGGCAAACACCTAACAATTCTTCATATGACTTGAATTTTCTAATAAAATAAAATTAATTCAGCCTCATCACATAACTTTTAATAGGACGCATTTCCAAATTTCCACCAAAAAACCCGTCTCCAAACTGCCGTCAAATTACTCAAACTAAAATTTTCATTACCATCACGTGTTTGAGTGTTTCTTTAGGCGTTAAGGTTGGGATGTTGGAAACCTTTTTGAAAACTTGTTAATATTGAAGTCATATAGGAAAAATGTGTTTGCTTATTTGTAAACTGTTTTTCAATAAGTTTGTGAGTGTTTCTAAGAAAGCTTCTGCAAAAGCATCACAAATTACCTTTTGTTTCAAAAAGCATATCATCGCACATACCTGCGATATCTGATGCTGCTGCTCGGCAGGCAGGCTTACCTACTATTGTTCTTATATGTGGTTTTTGCTTTTATAGTGTAAAGAATCTATATTTATTGGTATATAACAAATTTTTAATAATATTATTTGTTATCAAAGCTGATTTTATAGACTGTTACCTGTAAATAATCTTAATATGATATGATGAAAAAGTTGCTATATTATCCACGTAAAAATTAAACTCATACAACTATATGAAGTTATGGACTTATGGTCTTTCCTATGGGGCCACCGTACACTGTAGTACGCAGCCTAACAAAATCAACACGAAAAGAGTGAAAAATCAAAGGCGTTAACGTTGGCATTCGACATTTAATTAGCTTATTAGAGCGGCGGAAGCAATTTCGAGACGTGGGTTCGGGGGTCGGGTTGGATCAATTTCGGGATTTTTTGTATAATTTGATTATTTTCACATGGGCTTCGTTCCCTTTGCATATTCTAATGTTATGATTCTGATTTTGGATAGATTCAGTGCGAGTTTTGATACTGGGATTGCTTCCGCTGCATATAATAATCCATCAAGTTGAGGCCGAGGCGAGAGGCAAAGGCGTCGCGGAGTAGTAATTCATCCAGTTTGAGGTAAGTAACCATTCTGGAATTGAGGGTACAAAACCTCGGTATTTCGTATTGTTTTGACAAACGAGGTGACGCACATGCTAGGTGACGAGTGTGTGGGCGTGCAACGGTAGGGATTGTGACTTGGTCCGTCCCGTAGCATCTATTAAGCCGCGTATTTGATTTGAAATCTTATGATATCACGTATTTTAGAGGTTGATACTATATTATGGGTTGTATGCTATGTTTGAGGCCCTGTGCCGACCTGTTGAGACCCTTAGGGGCATTTTTACTGTTTTCTCGCTATATTTGTTTGAAAGCATATCCTCAGTTATATTTTACCTGTTTATTGTTTAACTCTGGTTTTTATCACTCTACTTCCTAAAAATGTGAAAACTGTTTGGGCTGAGTTCCCGTGATTTCCACTGTTATGCCCGAGTGGTTGTGAGGTTAACGACTGAGAGAGGTTGAGGACCTAATGGTGAGGATTATATGTGTGTGTGTGTGTGTGTGTGTGTGTATATATATATTATGGATCGACCTGCACGCCGCAATGATACTTATATGGATCGGGTTGCATGCCACAGCGATATATATATTGGATCGAGTTGCACGCCGCAGTAATAATCATAACAACCGCTGCGGCGTGCAGCCCGATCCATAGTTTATAGTCGACTACGCTCACTGGGGGTGTACAGAATCCGGAGGGGCCCCTACAGCCCAAATGTCATATTGCTGCACGCCGCAGCGGTTATTATGATTATTACTGTTATGAAATATTATTGAGCCCGAGGGGGAGTGTGAGTACTGTGTGACGAGAGATGAGTCACGAGCGACTGAGGGGCTTGCCCGAGAGGCTATATTTATGAGTGATACCTTGCCCGAGGGGCCTATTTATGATATTTTTGCTGATTCCACTCTTCTTTTTATAATAAGCCTCTGTTGAAAAACTACTAAGTAATGATTTCAAAGTATTTCAACTGAAACTAAAGTTTTACGAAGAATTTGGCTTTTAAACTGTTGAGTTTGATTTGATGCTCTGTTGTGTACTCTTATATATGATTTTTAACTGTTCGTCAATGCACTCTGACCTTATTTACTTTAGTTACTTACTGAGTTGGCGTACTCACGTACTCCCTGCACCTTATGTACAGATCCAGGTGCCCGAGCGGTAGAGTGAGGGTCCCCAACATTATCGGAGCTTACAGGAGATTGCAAGGTACACTACCAAAAAAACAACATTTAACGACGAACGAAATTCGTCTCTTAAGAGCCTTTTTCCGTCGCAAAGCACGATTAGTGACGAATTAGCGACGGATTACCATTTGTGCTGATTTGCTCGTTGCTAAGCTCTTAGCGACGGGCAAATGGAATCCGTCGCAATATTATCGACGTTCTAGTGACGAACACTGTCCGTTGCTACAATTAGCGACAAAATATCAGTCGCTATATTAGAAAATTATGTCGTTAAATTGACAATGCATTTCGTCGTTGGTATACTTTTGTGACAAAAAGTCGGCCGCGAATCCGTCGCCAATATTTTGAGAGTCATTTCAGCTTTGCATTTGGAGACCAAAATCATCTGTCGCAATGTTATTTAATATATTTTTTTGTTACAAAACATATCTGTTGCAATATTTTTTCAATTTTAGATCTTTTTATTTAACATTTTAAATTTTCTCTGCTCGTGCACTTTGTATGTAAATTATTAGATATCCTTAATAATAACCAAAATTCATATAAATTAACATACTTCAAGGTCCAAAATGATATCAAAATCCATATAGCTAATACAATTAAGTTCGAATTATCCCTAACACCAACAATAAAGTTCAAGCCAAAAAAGGTTCGAATTATCCCTAACACCAACAATAAAGTTCAAGATTCGGTCCATAGTAGCATTTTGCTTGAGATCCAAGACCATATACTTTTCTCTTCTTTTCCCCTCTCGCGGCTTCATAATATACTTTACATTGATCAATATCAGATTGAGTTTGTATTTTTTCCTGCAATATTTCCTGATACTTTTCCTGTAAAAGAGGTTTAATAAGTAGTGAAATTAAAATAGTCAAAAATGTTGAGCATTTAATTAACCAACAGAGAGGATACTTTTCATACTTTTTTACATTGTAGTAATAAGATTATAAAATATTGGACTTACATGCACGATTCGAGCTTTCTCATCAAGAAAAAATTTTCCATCATGCCCATGTGTATGGACGTACAAATGTATCTCACTTGGTGCTGGGTCTCGACCCTTTTCAACAGCCTATACAAAAAATAATTTATTTTTAAAAGGATGAAGATATTACTATAGTAGAAGATGACATGATCCCAGAAGAAATTTAAAGCAAATGGACTTGAATCAAATAATTCACAATGATAATAAAAGAGAAAAGTACGAAAAATAACGAAACAAACAAAGCATACAAGAAACTAGAATTAACCTCAATATGGAAAATCTAGTGATCCTTCAAACCATTCAAGTTAAGAGAATGATAAGAAAACACCTATGCTGACATGTTACCAAAGATTGTTTCACCAGAATGACATTGAGAAAGCAAAGGTTCTTAATGTCTAAAAGGAAATGTAAAGCATATGATTGATATGTAAAAGAGAAAACAAGCACATAAAGTTGGTTACGTAGAATTTTAAGCTAAGATTATTGAACTTGCATGCTAGGATGTAGAGTTTGAAGTGCTTAAATGGTCACAATAATAACAAGCTCACAATTCAAAACAACTGAAACTTCATTAGACAAACGCTCAAAGTTCTTACACTGGGTAAGAGAAAAAGAAGGAAGGATATTAAAAGCTAAGCTTAAAAAAATGAGCTCCTAAGTAATGGTATATATGGATTAAAACAGTATTTTAGAAAGACTAATATAGGTAAAGCAGAATATGGGAGTATGTTAGAAAACATTAGTATAAGTCAAGAATTGGGCAAATATTAGTAGTAGATTTTTCAATCGTATAGTAAGCTAGATTTTTCAATTTCCCCCTGTGATAAACTAATATTTGAAATGCGTAAAATCCAAATTAAATAGCATAAGTCATTCACATTTTTTATTGAAAGAAATGATAAGTTATGCAATGACATAGATATAATTCATGGTAAACATCATGCTAAGCTATGCAAGCATCTGAGACCTATTGAGCTTAACCAAAAAAACGCAAAAATACATTTATTCAAACATCCATTTGAAGTTACTAATCAACAATCAATATAAAAAATATTTGATGTCAAATAAAGCTCTAGGTAGAGATAGAGAAACACATTCACACAGAGAAAGAGAGAGAGAGATAGAAAGAGTAGAGAAAGTTTACCTGAACTTGATTTAGCTATCCGTACAAGCAATGACAATGTTAATTAAGAAAAAACAGAGCTTAACATATCATCAAAAGGGGTGAAAGCACCCTATAAAATAAAAAATATAAATTAAATTTCTAATACAAAATTTGTCTACAACTATGTGAAGAAAGTTTTTGTAGATCTGGACAAAAAATTAAGAAAATAAGAAGAAGAAGATTAATTAAACGACCAAATGAATCTACCAAAAAATTCTCCAAACGTTTACAATCCAAGAAGATGGCGGTCTATAGAGCCATTTCTGTGTCAAAGTTGACACAGAAATCTGATTGTTATAAGCTTTCATGATATAAAGAAACAATCAAAGGGATGAAGCCATATCAGATGACAAAAATTTGTCGAACAAAAAAATCAAAAATATAATATTTGCTAAGCTACAATACTCTAATAACTGTAATATAAAATTCCAAAAAAATACCAGTGTTCCCTTAAAGTTTTGATTTTATCACATCTAAAGTCAAGAATAACCCAAAATCTGATTCTTATAAAGTTTCGTAAGGTAACAATCAAAGACATGAAATCGATTCAACAAAAAAGTCTCAAAACACAAATTTTGCTAAGCTATATAAATAAATCTCCCAAAGAGATACCAGTTTCAAATAAATTTGATTTTTATGACAAATGATAACAAAAAATTAGTGCTAAGCTTATTGAAGAAGAAACAAAGTCATCTACAAACCTTAGATTCACGTTGGCTACTAATTTTTGCTCTTGTTCTTAAAAACCCTCATCGTGTGTCTTCGATTTTGCTCTCAGCCGCCTCAGTTTGCTCTCTCCTGTGTTTCTATTGTTTTAGAAGAGACTGATGTTTTATCAAATTTTTGCCCTAGGAAAAATAATAAAGTGGTCTTCAGCGACGGATAGGGTTCCGTCGCTAAAATAACATTATTTTTTATTAAAAAATACATTATTGACGGAAATTTCCGTAGCAAAGAGTTTTTAAATATTTTGATAAAGAAATTAAGGCTAGTGACGGATTTTCGGTTGCTAAATCCGTCGCTGTAGTTTAATAAATTTTGTCACTCAACTTTTGTCGCTAAATCCGTATGTAAATTGAGGGCGCCAATATTTACCGCCAACAATTAGCGACAAATGTTCGATTTCGTCGTTATTCCGTTGCTATATTAGATACTAACGATTTTTTGGTATTTTTTGCAACGAAATTTTTATTCCGTAGCCAATCCGTCGCTAATCAACAACGGAACAAAAGTTGTCGCTATATTCCGTTGCTAATTGCTGTTTTTTTGTAGTGGTAGCTGCACGGCGTCCGCAGCCGTGCTATCCTCCTTCCTATCCTTGTTTTCCGCATTTTTAGATTTGGTATGTAATAGACAGTCGGACATGTTATATTTAGATGCTCTAGGCTCTAGACTTGTGGTATTTAGACTTGGAGTTTTTAAAATTTTCGAAATTCAACTGCAAGTAAAATTTGAATTTTTCATAGCGAAATACTAATTCCAAAAAAAGTAAAAATTCTAAAAAAAATGAATTTATTATGGCCAGACGGGCCCTTAATTAAAGTCTTTGTATAATGATAAAGGGTGACAGATATAAAAGCGTCAATTAATAGCTAAACTAGGATATCAGAACTATTTATGCATAATACATGTAAATCAATTCTATTAAATTTCATTAGGCGTTTAGGTTCAGATGTTGGAGACCATTTTGAAAACTTGTTATTTTATAAGTCATATAGCAAAAATGTGTTTGCTTAGTTGTTGATTGTTTTTCAATAAGTTTGTGAGTGTTTCTAAGAAAGCTTTTACAAAAGCATCACAAATCACCTTTTGTTTCAAAAGGAACAAAGATTCTCTGATTAGACGCATGCTAAAGCATATCATCGCACATGCCTGCAAGATCTGATGTCGCTGCTCGGCAGGCAGGTTTTGTTCTTGTGTACATTTTGCTCTTATAGTGTAAAGACAACAACAAGAACAACAACCCAGTATAATCTCACTAATAGGGTTTGTGGAAGGTAGTGTGTATGCAGATTTATCCCTACCTTGGGGTAGAGAGACTGTTTCCAATAGACCATCGGCATCCTTCCCTCCAATAACTCCCCACCTTGCTCTTGGGGTGACTCGAACTCACAACCTCTTGGTTGGAAGTGGAGAGTGCTTACTAGGGGTGTATAAAGGAAATCGACAAACCGCATCAACCCGATAATCCGAGTCAAACCAAGAAAAAAACCCGACTATGGTTTGGTGTTGGAAAAAAAAACTCCGACATAATTGGTTTGGTTTGGTTTTAACTAAAGAAAGTCAAATTGAAACCAAACCAACCCGAAATTACATATATAGAAATTTTATATATATTTAATATATAAATATACTTATTGTGATGTAATTTATAAATATTCCTTAAAAAATTTCATAATTTTATCTTTTAAGGTATTATTTCAAGGTTGGACTTAGAACTTTTGAATGTTCCAATAAGTTTTATAGCCATTAATATTAGTAAATTAAATAATGCTAACAAAAGTCCAAACCAAAATCAAATCAATATTAATGCTAACAAAAGACATTCAATTTAATATTACGAAAGGGAATGTATTGAATATCTATTGTATATTTTGCAATAATTTAGATAAAAATCAATAACCTATTTTTATTTTTTTCTTTAGCGTTTAGTCATGTAAATAATACTCCCTTATTAGTCTAATTATTTTAGCATGACTTAGTACTTTTAGATTATGTTTATTTTTATTATGGCTTGTTAATTAGCAATATTTATATTACATGATTTATTGTCTTTATTGTTGAATATTTTAGGATAATACCATGGACATATCTCATATTTTGTATTATTTTCTAGGAAAATACTTTATATAGTTGTATCTTACTAGGATTAAAGAAATATTTTGAGCACAAGTTATATGTTTTGTTCTACAAAGATTTTACCGGAAAAAAACCCGAGAAAAACCGAAAGACCCAAAAATCCGAGAAAACCCAAGAAAAACCGAGATTGAAAAACCCGAATTTTATTGGTTTGGTTTGGTCTTTAGATTTAATAACCCGACACAATTGGTTTGGTTTGGTAATTATAAACCCGAACCAACCCGACCTATATACACCCCTAGTGCTTACCATCAGAGCAACTCACCTTATCTTATAGTGTAAAGACTTTTTATATTATTGGTATAACAATTTGTTTTGATATATTATTTTAATTATCAAAGCAGATTATATATAGACTGTTACCTGTAAATAATCTTAGTTGCTATATTATCCATGTAAAAGTTAAGTCTTAATTATTCCACTTTATTCCATCAAGCTTGAAATTATTTTATCATATCTCCCACGTGAGATAAATTAATCCAAGAATTATAATTGTGGGATAGTTTAGTTCGCAAACCAAATGACCCCGTAAGCTATAATTATGGTCTTACCTACGGGCCACCATAAACTATCGTAAAGCAGCTGGGTAAAACAACTGTTTTAGGTCCCACGTCTGTGGGGTTCCATTTTCTGTTACACCTACTAGATTATATATAAGTTTAAAAAATTATGTAAAGTGAAAATGTATGATTTCTTTCTTTAATAAATATAGAGAAAGATTTACAACTGCTATGATTTATGTCAAAGAGATTGAAATAACAACAACAACAACAATAACAACCCAGTATAATCCCACAAATGGGGTCTAGGAGGGTAGGATGTACACAACCTTACCCCTACCATAGAAGGGCAGAGAGACTGTTTCCGATAGAACATCGATTAAAGAAGGTGAGAGAAACCCTGATAGCAAGTAATGACAAGAAAAATAATTAGAAAACTAAATCGAAGATAGCAACAGAGAATATGAAAGGGGTACCGATAACAAGTAATAGCAAGATAACATATTTAGAAAACTAATTCTAAGGTAGCAAAAGAGAATATGAACGAAGTATTGCCAGCAAACTACGGAATTACCGATGGCAAGTAACAACGAAACGAGACATGCGAATATAACAAACTAAGGAAAAAGGGATACCATACTAGTGCTAATACTATCGAGCTAGAGAAGACAAAGGGAAACGTACGACTACTTACTAACCTTCTACCCTAATCTTCAACCTCCACATCCTTCTATCTAGGGTCATGTCCTCGGTTAAATTGCATTTGAAATAAATGACAAACTCAAATTTTGTAAGAAACACGTGATATATAGAAAGAAACAATTTAATTAGAATGTTGATAATGAAATCTCAAAATCTCTCGAAGACTCTTTTAGAGTTGATTACTTTTTATACATAGTAGACAATGCTATTTTTTCACTTCAAAATAGAGTTAAACAATTTGAAGCATATGAAAATATTTTGGTTTTCTATTTAGCGAAAAAAACTGAGATCACTAGATGATGAAAATTTGAAAAAATATTTCCTTAATCTTGAATGTTCCTAAAGCATAAGGATCAATCTGATATTGATCGTTTAAATTTATTTTCTGAATTAAAAGTATTAAGAAAAATAATAGAGTTAGAAGATAACAGTTTAATTGATATACTCAATCAAATAAAGGATTTGATTCTTTTCGAAATGCCTATATTGCTTATAGAATAATGTTAATATATAACTCATATTACCACTACTTCAGCGGAAAGAAGTTTTTTAAAATGAAATTGATAAAATCTTACCTAAGATCAACAACGGCTCAAAAGAGGTTAATGGGATTAGTTGTATTGTCAATTAAGAGAGATGTATTAGGACAAATTGATTAGTAATAAAATTATTAATAACTTTGCATCTTAAAAAGCTAAAAATAGACTTTAAATAAAAAAATACTATTTTTTAAAAAAAAAATTAAGGTCTCTCATAAAGTTTGGCTTTAGGCCACAAACTTCGTTCGAGCGCCCCGGAAAAAGAGTGAAAAAAATCAAAGGAGGCATTCGACACTTAATTAGCTTACAAGAATGCTGAAAGCAGGATTTTCATCAAAAGAACTTTAAAAATAAAAAAAGTAAAGGAGATTCAACTACTATACAATTAAAAAAAAACTTTTAACCTCATATACATATTGTACTTTTCCAACGAAGTATCCCTTTTCGTCACCTTAGCTTCGCCCGTGCTTACAACATTCCCATAACGTCAATATCTGACATCATCAGGTTATGTGTCACTTCGTCAACTCCGAGGAAACCACTATAAAAACATGTAAGACGACTCCATAATAATCAACCTCTAAAAATTCCCACTAGGAAATTTCTTAGTCATTTACACATTTTCTCCACTTATCATTATTCCCTTGCCTGAGGAAGAGAAAACAAAATCACGTCAATATTCATAATGGAAGTGCAGAAACGAAAAAGAATAGATGATGAAGAGATTGAAAATAAACAGGTAAAAATTATGAAAGATGAAGAAGAAAACGAGGGAACAATTGTGGATGATGATGAAGTGGAAGAATTCTATGCAATTCTGAAGAGAATACGCGTGGCTATGAAGTATTTCGAGAAAGTTAACGCGTGGGTGGTGGTGGTTCTGGGCACAAGTTCACGGCGGCGAAGCCGTGGAATCCGGCGTTCTTGCCGGAGGATTTTGAAAATGATAAAGGCCAAGAATTTGTGGATAACAATGTAGTATTGGATCTTAACGAAGATCCAGATCATGAAAAGAAGATACGTAGTTTAAAGGCCGATTGAGCCTTCCTCCATCTTAATTTGGTGTTAAGATATTTTTATAAGCTCTCCTGTCGCAAATATTAGTCATTTTATTGGTAAATTAAATATATTGTACGATTTTAAGAAAAACAATAATTATTTATCTCGGAGTATTCTTTTTCTTCCCAAATCCCATTTGGGGGATTATAATAGGTTGTTGTTGTTGAAGT